CTTCCTTCCTTCCTTCCTTTCTTTCTTTCTTTCTTTTTCTTTCTCTTCTCTTCTCTTCTCTTCTCTTCTCTTCTTCTCTTCTCTTCTTCTCTTCCTCCTGCTGCTCCTGTTCCTCCTCCTCCTCACCGTAAACCCTTCTTCTTCTACCATTGATGGTGTTATCTAGCTTGGCAATGAAATGTCTACAAGAAAACCATCAAACTCAAAGAGCACCAAGGACTCCACAGGCATTGTTTTTCTTCTTCTTCTTTTTCTTCTTCTTCTTCTTCTTCTTCTTCTTCTTCTTCTTCTTCTTCTTCTTCTTCTTCTTCTTCTTCTTCTTCTTCTTCTTCTTCTTCTTCTTCTTCTTCTTCTTCTTCTTCTTCTTCTTCTTCTTCTTCTTCTTCTTCTTCTTCTTCTTCTTCTTCTTCTTCTTCTTCTTCTCATTCTTCTTCTTTTTCTTCTCCTCCTCCTTCTCCTCCTTCTTTTTCTTCTTCTTCTCCTCCTTTTCCTCCTCCTCCTCCTTCTTCCTTCCTCCTTCCTCCATCTTCATCTTCCTTCTCCTCTTTCTCCCTCTTCCTTCTCCCTCCCTCTCTTCCCTCTGCTAGGGAAGCTAGCTGGGGAATTCTAGGAGTTGAAGTCCACAGGTGTTAAAGTACCCAAGGTTGGAGCCCATAGATGAATAAATAAAACTTTTATTGGCGTTTCTTTTTTCCCTGAAGGAGGAGGAGGAGGAGGAGACGGTGAGGGAGTTTCAGTTGAGGCTTTGGGTGAACAAATTCAGTCTTTCTTTTCTCCCTGGTGACACTTGTGGCACACACAGAAAGCATGATGCTCACACACACACACACACACACACACACACTGCCTTGCTCTTTAGACCTTTCCAGTTCCCGCGCTGCCGAAGGAGACGAAGTCCTGGAACGTTCCTTCTTTGTCCGCCTGAAGTCCACTTTGACCAAGAGAGGACTTCACATCAAGACGTCGGGCTATAAGGTAAAAGTGAGGGCTGGGGTTCAATGAATGGCCATAAGCCGAGGACCACTGAGAGCGCCCTTTGGGATACAGCGTCCCTCCGTGGCCCCTGATCCCCTCTGGGCCCCTTTTTTGCCCTCCAGGTGATCCACGTCACAGGCCGCCTCCGTTCCCGACGTCCGTCCTATCCCCACGCGGTGCTGGGCCGGGTGCTGGGACTGGTAGCGCTGGCCCACACCCTGCCTCCCTCCACCCTCAGCGAGGTGCGCATTGAGTGCCACATGTTCGTCTTCCGGGTCAACATGGACCTCCAGATCGTGTACTGTGAGAGCAGGTGAGTGAAGGGGACAGTTGGACGGGGGCCCGGCCAGAAAGGGCTGGACACTGGCAGGGATGGCATAAGAACCGGGCGCGAAAGTGAAGCCCAGCAGAGCACATGGCGGGTCCAGAACCCGACCCATTTGGGGAGGGACGCTAGATGTGAATTGTAACTTCTATGGCCAGCTGACTCAGCCTGGACTGGACCTGGCCCTCCCTGAGCCACGTTCTGCAGTCCACAGTCCAGCTTGGGTGATGACCAGGTTTGGTGCCACCTGAGGACCAAGGTTGGTGACACCTGTGACCTGATTTGGTGACATCTGATGACCACATTTGGTAACATGTGATGCCCAAGTTTGGTGACATCTGATGACCAAGTTTGGTGACATCTGATGATCAGGTTTGGTGACATTTGATGACCAAGTTGGGTGATATCTGATGATCAGGTTTGGTGACACCTGATGACCAAGTTTGGTGACACCTGACTTCTTGCTCTCTTGCTCTGCACACCATCAAGAAGACTTCACTGGCTTTGAAAGGGAGGGGAAGAAACTCAATCTCCCATTGACCATGAAAGTTAGCAAGCAGAAGGACTATCTTATCTCCTGGAGTTGTGAGGGCTCCATCACCAGAGGTTTTCAAGTAAAGGTTGGGTGTCCATTTGCCTGGGCTGATGTGAGGATACCTGATCCCTTCCCATCCTAAGACCCCGTACCTGCCCACATACCCAGCATCTGGACGGAAAACTTGGGAGAACCTCAAGTAGTCAACCCTCCTAGCCTTGGTGGACCCAAGATCTACCTTCACTTTGGAAGGTGTCCTGCCTTTCCGAGAAGCCAGGAAGTCCTGGCCTCCCTTAGACATCCCGTGGAGAAGACCATGTGGATCCTCTCCCCTCCGAGACCACCTACAAGAGTTTAACCAAGTTCTCCTCCTCCTTTAAATTCCACCCCAAACCGGGTCAACTGCTTTCTCCTTCTCCTCCTGCTTCTCTTCTCCAGGATCACGGACTACATGGACTTCTGTCCCTCGGAACTCGTGGGGAAGAGCTGCTATCGGTTCATCCATGGGGAAGACGTGGAAGGGATCCAGCAAAGCCACTTGGACTGTACGTGGCCCCAAGGAGGGCGCAATAGCATGTCGGGATTTACGGATCCTGGGTTTCTTTGCTGGGTTGCAATCCCGGAGGCTTCCTTCTTCACCAGACATTTTAGTTGTCAGGATTCCGGCAGTTACCCCCAATTAAATCCTGAGTCTCGAGTTAAACTTCCAAAACTTAAAAAGGATTTATTAGGAGTAAACATGCTAGCACTGCCTGGGTGTAGCCGACTCTGAGACACGTAATTCATTGTCACCCTTGACCCTGGTTTTCCCCCACCCCTGGGTGTATTATAATTCATATTCTCCAATGGGACACCTCCATAGCCCAGAGTCATCAATCAAGCTCTCCAGCTAGAATTTTGTCCTGCAGAAACTTCAGTCACCTAGTTCCTATCTTTGAAAACATGGAATGCATTTTCGGTTTCCAAGCTGCTGCACTGCTCCCCCTTTCTCCCTTTCTGTTGGCAACTCTAAAAAGACCAGACAAATATTTTACGAGTTGACATTAGTGGCACAGGTAGTCCTCAAATTATGACTACAATCGAGCCCCAAATTTCGATTTGCGAAGTTGAATTTTGCTCCATTTTACGACCTTGCTTGAGACCCTTGTTAAGTGAATCACTGCAGTTGTGTTAAGTGAGCCACACACCTGTTAAGTGAACCTGTCTTATCAGGTCGTAACCCGCCGGGACGCTGCGGCCGTCATAACTATGAGTCAAAAGGGCCATGCGTCCGAATGTTGATCGTGTGACCATGGAGATGCTTCAACGGTCGTAAGTGTGAAAAAACGAGTCGTAAATCCCTTTTGTCAGTGCCATTGTAACTTTGAGCGGTCACTAAAAGGGCACTGTTGTAAGTCGAGGACTATCTGTGTGCTGTTCAACTTCTAGAAAAATCTGGGCAGCTCAGAACCGTCCAAAACAAAGAAATTCCAACAAAAACTTTTTCTTTAAAGATAAAAGATGTTAGGAACAACAAACCTCTTATTTCCACGCAGTACCATGAGCCATTTTATCAGGTAC